TCCATGTAGCATCAATTATGCTAATGCTAGCTGTCGCGTTCTCTCGTCCTGGTCACACCTCCGCTCTCTAACCCCACTCCCCAACCCACTTTGATGCATTTTTCAAATTTCGCCTTGGGGCGGAGTTATCTTTTCACAGGGGGGTAAGTTACACTTTAACAAGAACAATTGCACAATATTTTCTTAGAAGAAAAAAATGGTTTTACCATTTGTGAACTCCGAGGGAAGATGACCCTTTCGRAGCTGCTGCCATCCCTCGCCCCCGTTTGGTACCTCAATATTACAGGCCAGCTCCAGAATAGAAACACCCAAACTAAAAAAAGAAGTATTTTTACCAAATAATAAGAAAAAAAAAGTGAGAATCTTAAATTCTAAATCAGAAAAGTTTGGGTACCTAAACACATCCGCAGCAGGTCCATATTCCCCGCGGAGCAGCTCGGGCGCCATGTATCTGGGATCGCCCTCCTGAGAGTCCTCCTTTATTTTCCCTTTGTGGTGCTCTGTGCTCGTCTGCTTGAGCTCCAGCAGCAGGCCGAAGTCCCCGAGCTTGAGACGGCCCGAGTCCGTAATGAGGACGTTGGCGGGCTTTAGGTCCAGATGTACAAAACCATGAGAGTGCAGGTGCTGCAGAGCAGAGAGGAGGTCGCACAGGTAAGCCCACGCTGCAGGCTCATCTGGATCAACAGAGTTAAAACACACACACACACACAAAAACATCATAACTGAGGTTCTGAGACATCCACCAATGGCATTTATTAAAAACATATGAAGGTCTTGACTTTAGGTTTATAGACAGACCTGGGCCAGGAGGTTTGTTCTCAGCGTGAAGCAGCAAGCTGGTGCTGCACAGCTCCGTCTGGATGTAGAGTCGGCCRTTTTCCTCCCACGCTGCCACAAAGTCCAGGATGTGAGGATGAGGAGAAACGCGCTCGTGGTTTCTGGCTTCTCTCACACTTTGTTTTCTGTCGTTGTTACCTCTGAAGCGATGAGCGGAGCGCTTCACGGCATACAGACGGCTGTCTTTGATACTTTGCACCTAAAGAAATACAGACGTTTTTTATGTTTTTAATGTGATCACTGCAGAATCATAGGGCCAATGAAAAAAAACAACATGCTTAATAGTTTATAATAAATTGATATCAGGTGAAACTCCTAATAATTGATTCCATTGTGCCTGAATTTTACTGTTTCATTTCTTAAGACTGATAAATCTTGCTTGTCCTTATGTTTTCTATATAATATCAATATTTTGACAAATTCTGAAAATCCAGAAATGCAATTCTCTTTCCTTTCATATGAGGAAAACATGTGTATGTTCATAACATTTTCTATATAAATCTTTGTCTTGCTCACCTTATAAACCTCTCCAAAGGATCCTCTTCCCAAGAGGCCCAAATTAGTAAAGCACTGGCTGAAGTAGGACTTAGGTTTACTGGGATCATAGACTGAGTTTGGTTGTGGAGATTTGCTGAGCGAATTAGAGAGTGGTGTCCAAGGGGAAGTTTGCTGAGGAAACACCCGACTCAGAGACGGGCAGCCCTTGGACGGCGGAACGGGAGGGAGGGAATATGAGAGTCGAGCGGGGGACGAGCAGGGGGAGTCGGCCACCGGTGAAGAAAACGGGGGCCGGCGCTTTTTGAGGGAGAAGCACTGCTCTGCATTGGACAAGTGGGTTGGGATAGGGAGGGGCACCCTGGACACTGTGCTTCCCACGGCAACAGACATTGTGCTGGTACTCTTTCAGCTCCTTGTGACGACGGCGGCGAGCTGCAACATTCAAAATACAACGATTATACACCATCAAAGCACCTAAAACTGAGGATAATTTGTTGTTTATCCACAGAACAAAAGCTCAAATTAAAATAAATAAATACTGTGGAGACATATCATGTGACAAATATGATCTGTTTAGGCCGTCAGGTTATTAATAGATGCAGGTTGTGCATCATTTTGGGCTTTCTCACCCTTGATTTTCACCAGGAAACTTGAAATTTAACAAGTGGTTTAGCATTTTAACAGGATTTTCTATTTACGACACACTTGGTGGGGTCATTTGTTGATCTTCAGGTATTATTAGGTCAAAGACAGATTAATCAACAGGCCTGTGGGGAACAGGACCAGCAGTGCAGAATCTCTGATTTTATAATAGCAAGTATAACAGAGAGCTACATAAAAAGAAAAACTAGAAATTAACAACACAAACAGGAAGCATGTAAAAAACTGTACCTGAGACACAATGACCAAAACATACCAAACTCAGTCACAAGAATAGGTGCGAAATGAACAGTGGTTAGACACCAAATATACACTAGACGATCAGAAGGAAAGAAAAGGATTAAAATACTGGTCAATGAGGCAAAAACTGTGATTCAAAATGAGCAGTTAGCAGCCAACTAAACCTGGACAAACATCAGAAAGAAGCCAGTGACATAAACACGTCTGTCTTTACTTCAATATTAATTAGTAAGATTATTAACATTACTGCACTAATATAGCAGTAACAGCTTGGTAAACCCCACCGTTGTTCAATGGTTGCTTAAACTGACAACTCTGTCACCACCGGGAAAAAAAATAGATTTTGGCTAACATAATAACAAACATATAAGTTTGCTAAATCTCTACCGTGTTTTACTCAAAAAAATTACTGTCACTTATATTTTGAGTAAAAACTGGGTTAAATTCGATTATTATACAAACCATAATCCTGTTTAAACGACTGTGTCCAAAGCAGAGAAATGTAGATAGTCCCTGTTTTCAAATCTGTAGGACTGCAATCGCCTCGCGCCAAATTCTGACAAGTTTACGCAGTGAGGCGTAGGTCCAGTCCGTGAATACGACGTGCTTACGTGCGTTGCTTGCGCAATATCCGCGAGCGGTGCAGTCTGGGAGTTTTGCTGCACAGGATTGGCGTAACTCTGATCACTTGAAATGGTAACTTTATTTAACGATTATTATGTGAGATTATCACTTCCGCATAAAAGCGCAAACAATTTCCAGACATTTATTTGGGAATAACAACGCCACACAATTTAAACTTTACTTTGTTTTAGCCTGCTAAAGCTAATGGCTAGCTTCGCTTTGTGGAGGTGTTTTAATCTGAGAAACCATCTATCTTTAGCCGCCAAATTGTCTGAATAAGATGGCCAGGTCAACTGGAAACATACTGCTGCCGTCTCAAGCCTGTAACACTGCTAGTTCATCTGTGTGGTCGTATTGTGGCTAAATCCAGGCTGATCTGTCGCTAGCTCATTGCTAAGTCTTTGAGTGTGAACGGTGTTATTTACATCTTCATTGTGTTTCTCGTAGCTTTTTAAAGAACCTATTTGTACTTGTTATGTACCAATTTATTGTGGAAAGTCTAAATAAGTAGACAACACAATGACAGTTGAATATGAAATATGTATTGTAAAATACTAACCCCCCTTTTTGTTTGTAATAAATGTTACTTTATCTTCATTAACTTTTTTTTTGCTTTACACTACAGCCTTGTTCTGTTCAGTTATGTTTATAAGGGGGAAACTCATTAAAACGCCTGTTTAACTTAAAATCAATATAATTTTAGACATGCAAAACTTTCTGCTCATCCTAAAATAATAAGCACTTATATTAAAGGGCAGTTTTTAAAGATGATGTACATTTGAACATTACTGAAGCATACTCTATAAAATGTGTTTGAACATTGGGCCTCATGCAAGAACATGTTCGTATTCTTATCCTAAATTTCTCTTACTTTTGTTCGTACRAAGGGTTCGTACGAACATGTCACGTCAGATTCAACAAACTCTTCCATCTTCAGGAAAAGTGTGTAAATGAGCTGCGTAAATTACACCTGTTCATATCCAGCTGCTCGTGCACGCGAGAGGAGATTAGTATAATTACCACCCCAAAAACACCATATAAGGCTATGTTTCCTGCCTCAGATACAAGTGTCCATTCATGAAAACGACAGCGAAAATTAAAAAGAACTTTATGAGTTCAGAGATTGAAGTCCGTCTGTCAGAGATCCAGAAAAGAAAATCTGTCATTTTTAGCAGGTCAGCTGTGGAATAAAAAGAGCTGCTAAAAGTATAAACAACTGTGTTAAATCATTTTCATTTATTCAGAAGACACAGTGCTGCGCACCGTACACCACCCCCCTGCGCGCGGTCTCAAGTGGTCTCATTTGCGGTTCTGAAATAAGCATTTTAAAATGTTTTCAAAATAAGTCTGGCACTTTGGAGAAAATCCAGGACTCGCTGGAGGGATTGTGTACCCCCTCTGGCCTGTGAACGTCTCGGTGTCCCCCAGGACGAGCTGGAAGGTGTCGCTGGGGAGAGCGGGGTCTCCTGCTGCCCCCACGACCCGTTCATGGATAAGCCGGCCGGAGGTAGAATTTATATTGTTAGTCTAAATTATTACATTTAAAATTATAACTCTAATTCAAACAGAATAGCCTATTGTCAACATAATTATGGAGTGTGATTTATTTTCAACTCAAAATATCTTCAAACTAACGAAATATAAAGTTATTAGTGAAGAAAACCTGTCTGGATAACAGCAGACTGACTTCACGTAAAATATAYGACAGGTCTGGACCACTCGTGAATTTTGTTCGTATCTGAAAAAAATCTTAGAATACGAAAACATTGGTGAATGCCACAAATTCTCCTAAATCACTCGTACGCACAACTTAAGAACAAATCAGTGCGTACGAACGGTTCTTGCATGAGGCCCGTTATTTCTAAATGTATTCATACAATACAACAATTCACGTAGGCTTCGTTGGTTGTTTGAAGTCATAGGTAAGGGGAAAAGAGACATATGACTGTTTATTATTTTCCAGGACGTGTTTTTAATGATCCGGCGTCACAAGACGACGATCTTCACAGACGCTAAGGAATCCACCACTGTGTATGAGCTGAAGCGAATTGTTGAAGGAATACTTAAGAGACCACCTGAGGACCAGCGACTTTACAAAGTAAGTTCAGGGCATGTCCTCGTTCATGCTCAATAGTCCAGGTAGAAAAGTCTAACTAGGCTGAGTCGGGTAGGCTTTGGGGAAACAAAAAACTCAAAGCAGCCAGGGATTGGCCCAGCACAGAAGAGCACCCTCATCAGGCCCTGACTCTGTGGTTTACACTCCCCTGCAGGCCASCAGTCACTCTTTTCAGGGGTGAATATGTTTTCATCCTTGATAGAGAGGAACATTTGTGCAAGGGAGGAGTAAASGAAGCTATTTTTGTGAAGGGAAGCAGACTGTCAATAAAGGGGGGCCTTTTTGTCCACTTGTCCCCCTCTTACAATGCTGTTCTTCCAAGTATGACTCGGCCCTCTGTGGAAAACAAGCGGCCATCACTGACAATGATCGGTTGTTAAGCTGATAGTCCTTTTGTATGTGAACAGCCTGTTTTAGTTGTCACTGACAAACTGGTTAATCCACTATGAGAAGGAGTTTGTCTGTACCTCCTAAGACTGAAGAAGTCTTTGGTTTAATAGACAAAATGTTTGAACAAATAACCAAAAAGTAATAACCAACAACCAGAAAGTGTCAGAAAACTCTTACGTTTTAAAATTGTTGCAATTAGATTTTACCATTTATAATTGCAATGTCCTCATCAGGGTTATTAAATTCCTACACTTTAACCGTACTGTGGCTATTTTTCTACCTTCTTCATCTCTTGTTCCACAGGATGATCAGTTGCTAGAAGACAGTAAAACACTGGGGGACTGTGGGTTTACCAGCCTGACTGCCAGACCTCAAGCACCAGCTACAGTCGGACTGGCCTTTCGTGTAAATGGTACAAGCTTTATTTTTCAACAACAAACCCTTGGGTTGGTGACAGTATTTGCAAGGGAGTCTCCAGAAYGTCTTACACCGATTGCAGAGGTTCTCAATTTCCTCACTTGAGTTGCTGTCCTGTTACAAAAGTGCACTCGAGTAGATTAAATTACGAACGAGGAGGCAGCTTACATGGTGGGTGCAAAGCAGGCAGAGATGCTTCCAGTGTGGGCAATGAAATAATGTGTATGGCCTAAGACTCAGTTTTGCTATTTATTGCACAAAAATAGGATTATTAATCAGATTTTCATAAATTGGTCACTTCAAATACAACAGCTCGACTCACAGACAGACAATTCCGTGAGACAACAAATTAAATTTTGCATATTTTTGGGCAATAATTAGTCAAATTTGGGTCGACAGCTAATCAACAGTTTAACTCCAGTGAGACAGATGACTTGTCCTGGGCTTTCTTGTTTTAAAAATTGTTGTATATTAAGAAATTATTACTCTTGCAAATAAAATACACAACATTTAAAGAAATACTACAAATAAACAAGATGGTTAGACAAGAAGGACTATAAATGTTTCAGCTTATACATAAAGGCCCTGTTCCACTATAATGTTTTCCACAACTTATGAAAAGTTTGTTCAAAATTAAAAATGTACAAGCTGAAGTTACAATTTAAAAAAACCTACAGAAAACCTCTTTTGGACATATACTGTACATACTGTAATGATAATTAGATTGACTATATGGCCTAAATGAGTAAAATGATCATAACAAAATTTTCCTAAGTTGGTAAAACGTTATAATGTGRTGGGGCCTTAAAGCTGGTGGGGACCAAATTATCCCACCTTGAAATATTAAAACTTTTAATTGCATTCCAGATAACTTTTTGTGGAAACAARAATATTAGTACAATTTGTTTTTATATTTAATTTCTACTAAATTTGCACTAAAAATAGACAATATTGTCATTTATACAAAGATATATGTTGTTAACTATTATTAATTAATTAATAATATTCTGTTGCAGAAACTTTAT